CTGCACTGAACATACTTTGCCTCTCACTCCTTCTGCAGCAATATACACTTGCAGAGAAAGAGGCCGTCATGGTGGTGTACACAGTCTAGCATTTCTAACACTTGCTTTTTGGGAGCGTATATCTACTCTATTTTACTTGTCTGTGATAATGTTTCTTTTACAGAGTCTCCATATACTTTATAGTGAACGTTCATGATCCAGGAATTCTAGCCATGACACAACCCCAGCCAGCTCATAGTTGCAGCCAATATGGAGTCCACAATTTCGCATTATCCACAAGGTTCTTTTCAGGTGGCTCAGTCCTTTCATCATCAAGAAGGCTTTGAGCTTTAACATAGAAATGAAATGGTTGGGCCAATGGTAACAACACCTCTATAGTAGCAGATTGTGAAAAATGAACTTACAATGAGGAACCCTATATTATCCCTCCGGTCCAAAGGCACCTTCATGAGTCCAGATAAGAATAAGGTCTGGATTAGCATTAAAAGAATTAAAGCACAAAACTAAGAGGTATGGGTAGATTACTATATACTGAAGGAATGATACTGAGTCTGTGATGAAGAGAAAACCAAAGGTGACTTATGGTATCCCTTTAGTACAATTTTTGCATCCTCTTTTTCTAAAGAGCTTCTACATGTTTGCAAGGTCAAGTTTCTAAGTTCGAATGCAAACTAGAATTTTATTTTATTTTTAATATTATCTATTAATAAAAGTAGGAACAGCAGTTTTGTCGACGAGTTATGGACCTCAATTCTGTTGGAGTTCATGCGGCGCTACCGGAAAAAAAAAGTAGCAAAAACTCAAAACAAGTTGAGAAAAACGAACGTACCTTGATTGGAGTGATCTAAAGCACAAAGGGCATGATAATTTGGCAATGCTGGCCGAGATGAGGATGGGCAATCTACACCTCAAGAAAATAAATCTCCGAGTTAGAGCTAGCTGGAGAACAAGGACTTGCCTGCGAAAGTATCCAAGTGATTTGATGCGCCAATACGATGTCATTAGAAGCGCCTTGAGAAGAATGTCTGGTCTGGCTGTGCACATTGGATTCCCTTCATACAAACAGCTTTGAGCAGCTTCTCTTGTTCCATGCCTCAAACTCGCGTGGATCTCCAGCAAAAGTTCTCCCAAAACCAGCTGCTCCGTAGACGAGCCGAGACAATCTGACTGCGATCTCCCTGAGTTCGTCTGTTCACTCCATTTCACCATAAGCAGAAGTAGCGAGTGTAGAGATCACCTGTCCCTCGCGAGGCTTCTCAGACACAAGCGCTGCTCTCAGGGCGTGGCCCGATATTAATAAGGGACGTCCATTCCATTCCATTGACCAGAGAAACAATTACTTGAACAATCATCTCTGAAGAATCTGCCACGAAAACTTCACATTACTTTTTTACATAGGAGACCTTGAACCATCTCGTACACAGACTCTACTCTGCTCCTCAACAACCCACCTCACAGTAAATCATGGAACTGCTTGCTAGCAGCATTTGCTATTGGAGATGTATCTACAATGCCAAAAAACCATGCTAATCCCTACAAGTGTCATGGACAACAATGCTGGTCAGTATGCTCAATGTTCCGTACAGGCATCTCGTGTAATATCTTCTTGGCTTCTTGTGTGTGGCCGGATTGAGAGAATTCAGCTAGCATCGACGTTCAAGAGACGAGATTCTTCTCCAACATGGAGTTTTTGTTTACATATGCCCATACTGGGCATATGCAGAAAGGAGCAAGGTCCAAATAGCCACGTTTGTCTGGAGCATTGTATCACATATTCGTTACACGCATTTAAATCTTCCCTGGGCCTCGCGGGCATCTCCTTGAATATGCATTTTGCATATCAGATGCCCATTTTGGGCATATGCCAATAGTATCGCTGTCGGGCTACCAATAAAGCTCCTCGAGCTACACGGTATCAAGGCCTCTACGTTCTTGAATGCTCTATCGGAGCTCCTCGAGGCCCAATCGATCGTTGACAGGATCACTGCCGCTGGAATGGATTGCGGTGTCATCGTCACCACGGCCGTGGTGAGTGGTGCGTAATATCGTCTTCTGGAACGAGGCCACGCGCAGCACGGCCGACGCGTCGACGTGATCGCGGTATTTCGGCTCTTGGAGCTACAAGGCGGACAAGATGACATTATGGAGGCTTGTTCTTGCTCCTGGTAGGGAAATCTCAATGCCAGGAGGCTCTTTCACCGTCACCTCCTCGCTGCACTCCGGGAAGTGATGGCCCATCCGCTAAGCTTCTCCCAGGAAACTCTTCCCAGGATGTGGGAGACCTTCCCTTGTGTCGTCCAAGCTAGCAGATCAGGTCGCTGCTGAGCTCAAGGCCGTGAGTTTGGCGCTAGCTTCCAGCTAAGGAACATCATATTGTTGGATTCCAGTCCTCCTTGCATCTCCCGGAGAACTCTAGCGTTTCTTGATCAATACAGAAACCACTGGCAATGGTGCAACAAGGTTATTTGAGAGCATGGAAAGCTAGAATGTGGCGGCCTGGATATCGATCATTGCTGCTTACTTTTGTTGAAAACTAAGGTAGAAGAGAAAAACTCTATCACTCAGATATCATCACCATTATACATACACAGGTGAGAGTTGTGACTCTCCAGATCCACCACATGTCACCACGTGTCTCAGCCATACAATGATCTCAGATGTACTACATCCTCACACCCCCACTCAGCTGAGATCAAATTTGCAATTCACAGCCTCTCTAGATCAAGGGGCTCATCGTTTTCCTCCTCTTCCTCCTCCATTCAGCCCAGAATTTAATCCCTGAGCTCCAATACCATGTTGAAAACTAAAGAAGAAGAGAAAAACTCTATCGCTCAAATACCATCATCACTATACATACACAAGTGAGAGTTGTGACTCTCTAGATCCACCATGTGTCTTAGCCATACAGTCTCGGATGTACTACATCCTCACAACTGTCCATTGACGATGAACATCATGCGCATAACCCCCTCCCATAATCCCAGAGTTTTGGATTAAAGGAGTTAATTTGCTGAGTGAGCAAGCCATCTCACTGGAGCTGACGCAGGCTTACTACAACTTTGTTGAGGACGACCATCCAGGTAATGAAATGAAGAAGTTTAGAGTTTGTTCAGACTGTTGCATGGCTTCCAACATTTCCAGGATCTCAAAGAGGATTGCATGATTTGATGAGGATTGCGTGACACGTGGTGGATCTAGAGAGTCACAACTCTCACTTGTGTATGTATAGTGACGATGATATCTGAGTTTTTCTCTTCTTCCTTAGTTCTCAACATGGTATTGGATAGAGAATGGTGCTTGCTACTGGTGTCCGTGTCGAGAAACCCGTGTGGTGCCCATGTCGTCGGGCCAAGCCTGAGAGCAGCGCTTGTGTAGAAGCTTTGCGAGAGACAGGTGACCTCTACGCAGCATGGAGAAGCTGCTCAAAGTTTGTATAGAGAAGGGCATTCCCTCAAGAACATCACATGGTTTTGCAGGCAAGTCCTTTCAGAGATTTCTTTTCTTGAAATGTAGATTGGCTCGGCCAGCACTGCATCTTACAGCTTTAGATTCTCAGCTTGTTTTGTGTTTTCGCTACTTTTTTTTTCTGTAGCACCAAGGATTACAGAGCATGAACTCCATCAGAGTTGAGGTGGTACAAACGTTTCTACTAGATGCCATATGTCACAACATTGCTGGATGTGACGAGTTATGGCTGCTCGTAGTCAAAACTGCTGTTCAGCCCGCTCTTAATTTGGTCAACAAATAATTTATTCGAAGCTTGTGGCCTTGGAAACTTGATGCAATCCCCTCTAGAAACAAAGGATGCAAAAATGTACTATACCATTACTCACCTTTGATTGTCTCTCCTTCACAGGCTTAGTATATCGTGATCTACTCTTCCATTCCTTCCACATTCCTTCAGTGCTGTTAATTTGAATAGTGTTTTATACTGTTTAATTGAAAACTTATTGATCATAAATGGGTGTGCAAGAGAACTTATGAACATTTGGATGCCTAGAAGAAAATTCTAATAACATAAAATATTAACTTTCATGGAGGCACCAAAGATGGTGCAAACAGAAAAGCAGACATCACAACTGAAGGGTTCTGAGTTGGAATGTTAGTCCAGGTCTTACACTCATAATCCAAAAAAAACACCTTACTCTTATCCGGAATCATGAAGGTGCCTTCGTAGAAACAGGCCGGAGGGATAAGATGGTAGTCCTCGTTGTAAGGAAAGCTTGCCTCCTTAACAAATCTCTTGGATGCACAGTCCAACCTTATTAGCATCATCTTCACAACCCCACGATCTGCTCCTATAGCCACAATGAAAAACTGGGGTGCTGTTGTTACCACCCAATTGGCCCAACCAGCTCCCATAGGTCGATTGGATGATGACCACTCGATGGACCATCTCATTTCTTCCATGTTGAAGCTCAATATCCCCTGATTCGAATTAAAATAAGCTTTGCTGTTGGCCATTCCCACTCCATATATGAGATGAGACCAGCCAGGAAGGTAATCCACTTGGTCCCACACCCCTGATCTTGAGTCATATACATGCAATCGCTCTTCTGCTATACAGATCCAGTACCGCTGCATGGACGGTTCCAATACCAGGGCAGAATGAAGACGCAGGAGTATATATACGACTGCCCTTGAAACCGCTTTCAGAGGCGGTGGGGGAAGCACCTTGAGAGCTCTAGTAAGCGGGTTGAGAACAACATAATCATCACCCATCATTCCAAGCAGCAATCCACCACAAGTACTGAAAACCCTGATGTGACTGTAGACATCTTGATGGACCCAATCTTTTGGTGCTTCAGATCCAACAACAAATGGGTTGCAGTTGTAGATATCCTCACCATTTCTAGTTATACCCAAGACACGAGGAGGAGGTAGATGCTTACTTTTAGAGTGGTATGTTGAATAAAACTTTGCAAATCCTGGTGAATCTACAAGATCCCTCCATTGTCTGCACACAGCTCTAATGCGGCAGTGCAAAGCAACTGCAGGCAAGCGCTTCAACACCTCCTGCTCAATTATGTGCACCAAAATGTCCATACCCTAGTACAAAAGGGGCTTCTTTTATGAAGGCCACAAAAAGGGTTTTCCATTCAAGTTCCTCAACAATCTCCCATAGGCATCGAGATTTATGGTGTACTCCTTCACTGGATTGGAAGCTTCATGCCTTCGACGTGCTTCGATGGTGCGAATCCGGATCTGGACTCATGCTTGTAAGTCCCTGTATTTTTTCACTGTTGTCATTTTGATGCGTGTGAGCAGCAATATGAATGGTTAGTGGGGAGCCAGTACAAGTCTTTAGAATTTGTTAATTCGCAAATCTCCTCGATATGAACTGGATGCGTGGGGTCTAGGTGAGTGTTTCGATTACAATTGTTTTCTAGAATGGTCGCTGTAGGATGCTTGACGTACGAGCTATTCTCGATGTCAAAAACAGGGGAGTTACGAAACACAGCACCAATTCCCAAGGTTTGTGCTGGAGTGATAGTGGTATTAACATAAATTTGCAGAACTTGTTGCCCGATTATCAAAGGTTGCTTTGAGCCCTCACGATGCTTCAAAGTTGATAGAAAACAGCGGTAATATTATCGAGCACTATTTTCTATTTACTCGGTTTGATGCGCAGATTTCTTTCAAAATAAACTTCTGGAAACAGTCCAGTTTATGGCCTCAAGGATACAGCTTCCTTGAAAAAGGTACAGCATTTCCCTGATAGTACCGGACTCAGTTTTTCGCGCAGATTCTTCCAATGGTGGCTTCAGTTCTGGAGTTTGGGTCCGCAGCAGCCGTTACCTCCATTTTTTAAATGGGGGCTTGGCTGTCACAATAGCGTACTGCATTTTTCTTTTATTAAGTTTTTGATTGGCAACGCTGCACCGTCGTTCTGCATTTTATCCTTATTTGTAAGGTGACTGACCTTTTTTTCACAATTTATTGTTCTTTGCGTCGACTGACCGTACTATTCGAGCAAGTTTATTTGAGCAAGTGATCAGTATGGAAATACTTTTCCATGAGCAAGTTGAGTTGTGCATTCACTCGAATTTAGAAACTAAAAATGCCTGCACGGGTTTTTTTCGCAGCCACTGGTTTTTCGAACACACGTTGAAGTCAATGCTCATTTTTGCACCAAAGGTATTTCCATTGCCTGAAAGCAGTTAACCATTATGGGATCTCTGTTGAAACACTTATTGAAATTGCAGGTTCCTTTTTCTCTTTTATTTTTCTTAGTCTCTATCATGTTGACGAAGAACCTGAACACTGCCGGCCTTCTTAACGTACATTCTCCTCTTGTTCTTCGAATCAAGTTACATTTTTCATGCAAGAGTCTGATCAACGCATCACGGCAAGGGCTCTAAGGGATGGATTTGCTCCTGCAAGGGGTGCTGGTATGCGTTTGAGCTCTTCCCTGACAAGGTATAATGGGCCACAAGCCAGTAACTACAGGTTGCTCCATCTTTTATTCTAGTTGCTTAACTGATGTGAGGACTAAAGCCTTTTAAGCTACTTGTCCGGAAGCATCACAACAAGGTCAGCATTGTCCACATCGAAGTAACTTTATCAAAAATCTACTCTGAGCTCGAGGATGGAGTGAGCCCCAGTATTCTGCCTGTTGCAACGTCGGGTCTTCTCGGGTTTGTAAATGCTTATAACTTTGGATAGCTGACTATCTCTTGTCGTCTAAAGCTGCACTGTGAGCTCTCTCAAGACCAGCTAGCACCCCAGCCCAGCACTTCCTTGAGCGAAGATTTCTTCGACAGCGTAGCCGATGACCAAAGACGAGCGATGGATGGGACGACATGGAAGACGCGGCAGCAGCCACAGCAACGCCATGAAACAAGCTGCATAACAGCGTCCCATTGCATTGCGTCCCAGACGAACGCCAACGGCCCCAAGCAAACAACCACTGGTGAGAGTCTCCAACCTTTCCTCTGCTGCGGTTTTCATTTCTTCGCAGGAGTAGCGGTTTAGACAATGCATCCATCGAGATCACCTCATTGACGAAACCTCACTCGTTTCAACTCAGTCGAGAGTAAGGGAGGGATGGTTATGATCTCCAATGTGAGATTGTATACGAGATCATCCGAAAAGTGTGAAGTGTCCGCTTTATGTGCCACGTGGCATACCACGTGGCTGCATCTTAGATGAGGGAGAAAACTTGCTAGGAAGCAGGGGCTTTGTGCAGTCATCTCTTGTGTAAGATAGTAAATCAGCTGGATAATGCTGTCTTCAATCCCGCATGAAATGGTGAGGTGTTTGGTGTGAGAATTAATCTTGCGATGCACCCAGGAGGCACTGGAGCCATATGGCCTCGCAGCACACCATATCACAGGCCACCACTGTTTGCGTTTTTTGCCACGCGAACTTGCAGCATGGCACAGCCCAGAAAGCTGTGCCATGCTGTCAATGCAATGCTTGTTTCATGGCGTTGCTGTGGCTGCCGCATGTTGTCCCACGGCACCCAATGGGGCATGGGAACCTCTATATTATGGGAAGTTTGGGGCAATGTCGGCAAAGATTTGTTGGCACCTCTCGTTCAAGCATTGAAGGAAGAAGGCGAGGCTGCTCCCTGCCAATTCTGTAGAGAGAATTCCTAGGGGAGGACGTGGTGAAGTGAAGTTCTGGAAAGTATAGCCGCAGCCATGTGTAGCCTTGGCAGCAATGTTCCACGTCCTCGACCTCCCATTTGCAGACCCATCGCCGGTCTCCCTAGGGGGCCATCACCACGCTCCGATTACACTATAGAGATTGTGCATCTCCAGTTGGTATCTCGATAGCGTTACTGGAGGCCCGATTGTTCGAGTGATGTTTACATTGGTGAGATAGTATTGGAATTTTGTCTTGCGATCTGCGCCACGAAGCCAGCCTTTGAATGCCAGGCAGTGGTAAGTGATTGCTGGAGGAGAGCGTCCAGATCGATGTTAATTCTCTTTGTCCATCACCTACAGTTATACCACTTGCCTATGTTGACTGTTTGCAAGCAACTGGGAGTCGCAGATACGCGGTGTCTTAGGAGGAATTGGAGTGTGCCTCTCCACACCATGATTTCTGTGGCATGAGACCTGTATCCATGCTTAGCATTCCATATGGGAATCGGTTACGGAGCCCAAGGAAGAAGTGGTGGTTGATGGCCTACCCACCCGTCCATGCTGGCATCCACAGAGAAGGATCGAGGGGACATGAATGCTGTAATGTATGCATTGGACATCCCATTGATATATGTTTGTGTTTAGTAGGCTTGCCAAAAGTTGATGGTATGCTCGTTGAACCGGCACTGCATCGCATTGCTCTGCAAGACCTTGGATGCCACCACCTCTCCAAAATCGGGCATTTTGTTGTCCTGAAAAACCTTATTCACCCCCTCAATAGACATAGGCCCTAGACACAACCTCTATTGCCTCAGGAGGGGGAAAAATCTCTTGCACCATTGCACCCACTTCGGCAACTTCTTAGTTGTTGTAGCAAAAAGACCATCTTCTTGCACAACCTCCATAGCTACAAGTGGAGGCATATGATTAGCAGCCTCCTCAACCATTATAACAGCATCTGCAACTTCTTGGAATGCTGTAACAACCTCCTCAGCTACATCTCTTAAGCCACTTCAACAATGGGATGTTGAACCACATTGATCATATCCACTACAAGAAAGAAGCAAGAAAAGAATTACATAAACAATTATGTACAATCAACTTATTCAATGTCCTCAATTGGCAAAGGAAGTGCAATGAACTACAGAATAGCGAAAGGCACGACCATGGGTTGTGCCTCAACTGGTGGAATAATGATCAGTTGCGGCACATTCTATGCTAGAACTAAAGCTATTCCATTTGAGAATGCCTAGACCATCATCAAGTCTAGCTCAATACAACATAGTTGTCCATGTGAAGGTTGTGATCATGGCAGTAGAATGACTATGCATCATGACTGACAAACTTCCTACAGCCTACCCATTGCAACATAAATCTATCCCCTGTAAAAAAAATGCAATGATATGCAACAGCAACAGGCCTATTCTTGATTTACATTATGCAAAAACCTGGAATCCAAAATGAGTAAAAAGACTTGACACTTACCAACATTGAATTGCATTGCAAGTGACTTCTAGTGCTCCACACTAGAAATGCATTAGCACCAATTGTGGCTATTGATTTGAATGTAACATATTGTGCTTGAAGGGATTGCCATTTGTATTCAAAAGGAAGAGGTCAAGCTAAGAAAAAAAGATTGATTAAAAAAAAAGAAAAGGCCATTCTGAACGTAAACTGTGCCAAACACATCTAGGATTCCATTCCTCACTCTGTCATCTCAGACCTGCCACAGAGTGTCAGTGCCGGGAGTAAATTCATACCAAGAAACTCACTTACACGTAAAGCCTGTCCTTCAGTTGTGGACCTTCCAGCAGATGATTGCACCCGGACATGATCGCCTCACAGATATCGTCTCCATGAAAACGAGCTTATGCTGGATGAGCAAGCGTTTCTGCCAATTCCCGCGTTCATCCTTGGCTTCCATCAATATATTAGTCTTCCATCTCTGCAAGAGAGAAACTGTGAGTGAGAAGCGGCAAGATAAACTTACGGTTAAGCTCTTCTTTCTAGTGCCGAATCCGTCCCCATCATAGCATTGACGCGATAGCTGTTCTTTCTTCACAAGCCCATTCCTTTTCCACAACAGGACATCTGAGGCAAAGCTTGAGCTCATTCTGTAGCCGTCTGGGGGTACCGACATGAACAAGCCTGCTAGGATTGCCTGCAGCATAGGCCGCTCATTCAAGCTCTTGTGAAACGTTGATGTAATCAGCCCAGCATAGCGCAAACCATATCTAACTGCATTCCCCACAGCAATTCCCAAGGGTGCTGTCTCAAACGTCTCGGTGTATTCCGATGGAAGTTCCATCTTATTCCCGTTCGGCATCTCCTCGCTCGCTATCCACGTCAGGAATGGGTGCTTAAACTTGACCGTCTCTGCATCACTCGACCTCTGGAGCAGTTCGAGGCCAACATCCATTACGGACTTCTCTTCCAGAGTCGCTAGTGGAGATTGGAACGAAGCCCTTCTTCTTCTTCTTCTTCTTCTTCTTTGCCGTCGCTGCCATGAAGTCCTTCCACGTTTTGTCTTTGGTGTGGCCCCCGCTTCTTCTTCTTTGCCGTCCCTGGCATCGTCTTCCGCTGGTGGAGATTGGAACGAAATCCTTCCACGTTTGGCATTTGGTGTGGCTTTATGTTTCTTCTTCCCCTTTTTTGCATGCTCTACCGCAGGAGCTTGGCTGCTTCGAGGCCTCAAACCTTCTCTCCTGGGAGCAGTGGAGCTCGACTTATCCTGTGCAAATGATCCTTAGCTAGTAAAATTTAGAATTACACATCGTTACCTTTGCACTCTTTATCGCGTGAGGCCGAGTGATGATCCAGGGGAAAAAGCCTCTTGACGAAGCCTTTTACGTCAAGGGTTTGACCTCGGTTGGCTTTTATACCAAAACTCCAGATTCTTATCGATATAAGACTTTTTAACACGCAAGAGCATGACATACAAAGAAAAGAGAGAGAAAAAAATTGACAGAAATAGCTACTAGAAGGAAGAGAGATCGATCACCTGTCTCCACTTCGTTGGAAATCTGCAAGAAGAGAAGAAGAAGCTCAAGTTTTTGACAGGAAAATGTGAAGGAAAGCTTGTCACCTGAGTGAGAACCTTGGCTTCAATCACTTCTTTCGCAGTGCCACCGTTTTGTAGCAACTCGGGAAGAATCTGGAGAGCAAATCTGTTAGCAAGACATGCTTCTTTCCCGATTTTTCCACCGATCGTTCCCTCCTAGATGAGACCAACGAGCTCCGCCAAAAAGCTTGGAGAGATTCTTACGTCCAAAATCGAGAGCTTTCGATGTCTCCCATTATCAAGTTAGCTGCATTTTTCATGTCAGCACCTTGCTCCAATGTATTATCAAAGTATTCCGACACCTGGAGAAGAAAAGCAAGGATCATTTTCCCGATTAAAAAAAGAAGAAGAAAGAACTTACATTCTTGTCGTCAGCCAGCACAAGAACATCCTGCATGCTGGAGCGTCGTGATCCTGATAGTCTTCCACCACTGAACAAGCTTTCCAGCGTCCTCTTCGATATGAACTCTAGTGATTCCAAACATTCGGTGACCACCACCATACTCCACCGGAGAATCCACCTCGATGCTTCCATGCCCGGCGATCGAGATATCAAACTGCGAGCTCTGGTACCCTTTGGGAAGAAGTACTGCCTGCGATCGAATTTGGAGCGCAGCGAGAGATCGCAGTTGAGCGCCAGGCGAATTTCACGACCTTCTCGTTGAGAACCGGGAGAGCTCCTGGCAGTCTCACCGGGCATACATTGCAATTGGGCTGCGCGCCATACTGCCAGAAGCATCCACAGAAGGCTGGTGGCCGTGACGAGATCCCAGCCTCGAAATCTTGCAATGCCGAGGGGATTTTGCCACTGCTGCTTGCCTGTTTGGTCGCCACGGAATGAGCATCGGATTTGGAGAGCAGACCTCAGCATTCTTGGCTATGAATGGAGAAGAACGATGGATTCCCAGCTCCCCACTGCCATCGCTCCTGTTCTAGGGCAGGCAAAAACTTGAAATAGATCCGACGGTGCAGATAAAATTCCGGGCGGGAACAAAACGAAGATAACCTCGTCAAAGAAACCTCCGGGGAAACACGAGCTTGAAGATGTAAGTGACGAGCTTTACTGGCGGTCGGATAGAGCTCCCCTTGAAAAACGCTGGATCCACTGCCGTGGAGGACTGGAGGAAGAGGAAATTCTCTCGACCAGCTCGTTCTACCTGTGAGAGCCAGAGAAGAACAAACTTAAGATCACTCGAAAATCGTGAACGATCAGTACCTGGCACTGGCAAAATTCGATGTTGGTCATAGTGAGAAGCACCACAAGTCCACTGTTGAGTAAGTTGATCTTACACTGCGTCACTGTTAAGAAGTGGAAAAGCTTCTGGAAGAACGCCTTGTGTTGATCTGGATCGCTGATGCTCCTGAGTGGAAAGTTCAAGACGATGCACTTGACTTTCGTCCAGTCTGGGAGCTCTCTCGCTTCTTCCGCGGAGGAAGTAACCAAAGACGATGCGTTGAGCCCCCAAAGGATCTGGATTCTCGAAGGCAAGTCCAGGATCACGGTGGAGAGAGATGGATCATACTTCTCTGCTTCTAGCTGAGAATCTTCGTTGCAAGCTACTGCGATGGATGCAGTAGCAAGATCTTGCAGCTGATGGATATAAGACAGTGCCTCCCTTCCAAAAAATAGCATGGTGCCCTCCAAGTTTCGAGTGGAAGAACACAGCACCGTAGGAAACTGAGCTACGTCTTCGTCAAGCTCAAGATGATTGTCCCAGCGTGGAACATCCGAGTCGTGCTTATATCGACAATGAGCACCATAGCGACATCCCTGGCATACAATCGCTTGAGAATAATGCGAGTTAAAAAGCTGACACTTACATCCCCGGACAAGAAAAACTTGCATACTGGCGTGGAAGAGACGGAGTGTGAGAACTCACAGCCGTTTCCTTTAGCGCAAAAGCCTCCACGGAAGTACACGCACTGCACTTTCCCTTCCTCTTCTTTAGGAAAATGGATCAACTCGTAATTACTCTGCGGTTCTAAGTATCTTGCTTGAGTCTGAAACAGTGGATCGTGTGTGTTGCAAAACCAAAGCACGGGTTCAAACAAGTTACCTCCACAATGATCTTCAGCAAATCTGACTGGTTATTCTCGTTGTGGAAGCTCCCATTTGAAACATACGGAAGTCCCAGGCACGACTCGTCGTCTTGGCTATGAAAGCAGAGGTGCTGGAAGGAGAAAGCCGTATAATAAGATGGAGGTCCTGTTAGAAGCTTTATTGACTGTGGTCTCCACCGATGTATAACTTCTAGCACGCAACTAGCTGCCTCAAAAACAAAGCAAACATCAAGTTTGATTCTAAACCTGGAAGACTTACAGAGCTCAGCGACAGCGTTGAGTGAAAACAAAGAAAGGTGATGCTGTTTGCAGAATTCCTTCTCCGACTCCTCTCCATGAACGGTGACGATCGTTGAGGATAAAAATTCGTGCGATAGCTTTTGCCACCGATAGTTGTCCTGTGTGAAAAACATCAAGGAGAGGCAAGGAAAAGAAACAAACGAAGTCGTACCTTCAAGACGCACTGCCAGAATTCAAACGCGCAGAGGTTGCCAAGAAGAGCAGCTTGACGAGATTGCCTGACACCATTTTGTGATTCCTGGAAGTACTGAAAAGAATAGTGTGCTGTAGCGCTAGCTCCGAAAGGTAGGATAATCGGACTCGGCGTAGTGTCTAGCACAGAAGCTATGACAGCACACTCATTCAGGTACCCGCGTTCGCAGCCCTCCATGACAAGCATAGAAGCCTCCAAAGATAGTGGAAGAGACGCAAGTATTCGTCCATATGGAGTCGGCAACTTCTTCCCTCTAGCATCGCGCTGTAGAGCGTTCAGTGCTTCAAGTGACTCCAAAGCATCATAAACAGTGTCTGGATGCGGTGGATTCAGGCATTTATCGAAGAATGCTGGAAAAACAAAACACAAAAGTTCCGATTCAGGAAACGAAGAACAAACTTGAGACGTACCCAATGCATCATTCAAAGCTCGTGCTTCAGCACAAAACAGTGACAGTACTTGCTTTCGTAGAGACAAGAGCTGCATTGCGGGAACCTCAAACTTGTTGAATGTCACGTACATTGTTCGTGGCACCATGCGAAAGACAGTACCATCGCAGGTACGCCCTGTGCGCCCCTTACGTTGTTCGGCCTACAGTTGAAAGGAGAAAGATACGGTGTCTGGCTGGAGGACAAAGACAACTTCTCACCTGTGAGTTCGACTCCCAGACAATCCGGGGAGCGTCTCTCTTCATTTTCGAGTTCCAAAACACTTCTAGGCAGCGGCATGAGTCGATGACGAACGATGCTCCCGGTATTGTAATTGAAGACTCGGCGACATCAGTCGCAAGAATCACCTGAAAGAAAAGAAGGATTCAGAAAAAACAAGACGGAGAATTAAGGAAAGAAAAGACCTTCCTCACTGAATGGTACGCCTCTATTGCTTCCAAAGATTGGTCGATGTCAATGCTACTGTGGAGCACAAATATCTCCACATCCAGTGCCCGTTGCGTGAGGAGAGACCACTGCTCTTCCAAGGCACGATAAGTTGGCAGGAAGACCAGAATTCCCTTCTTGCGATCAGGCTCATCTTTGTGGATGTGAGCGATAAGATGGAAAATCAGGTGCTGTATCTCCATCCCAATATCAGTCCCGGTCTTAAAGGGAGAGGGGTTTTGCTCCAACGAGTTCATTACAGACAAGTGCTCTTCCTTGTTTCCAAGTTGTTGCACGACCTGACAGAGGATGGTTAAAAATAAACGCGAATGAAATATAATATACAGAACCTGGTCGAGATACTTCACGCTGCACTGGAACAGATGTTGCTGGATCTTCGAGGCCAAGTTCGAGACAGCCACCTTCTCAACTGTTTCGCCAAGCTCGGCAAAATAGTTTTCGTAGCGTTTAAAGTCAGCGGTGGCAGACATGAGTACCAGACTATGGCAGCAGCAATCACATTAGCAAGAGAATTCCAGAAACAAAAAGAGACAAAAAGAAGCTCACCGTGTGTTCTTGTTCCAAAAGAGCAAGATCTTGACGCAACAAAGAACCATATCTGACTCCACAGACCTCTCGTGGATTTCATCCAGTATGACCACCTTGTAGTGAGAAAGAGCAGCCACACCTTTGGATTTGATCTCCTCTAGAAGAACACCGGCAGTCTGGAAGACGATTTTGGAGCTGGAAAAATACCGTGACATCTATGATCAAAAGAAAGAACCACAGAACTCCAACAACTCGAGGAGTTAAAGGAAAAAGTTCCCAAGAACTAAACATCAAGGAAAGACTAGAACTTTCAGAACGATCGAGCATTTACCGGGAACTTGTCCTATTCATCTGACCAATGTGAAATCCAACTTCTTGTCCAAGCTCGCAGCCTCGCTCCTCGGCCACCATTTTGGACACGGCGACCACGGCAAGCCTTCTCGGCTGCGTGCACAGAATGGGGGCGAACCCTTCCTCGATCAGCATTTGCGGGACCTGCGAGCTCTTTCCTAGACCCACATTCCCTTGCTAAGCTCCGAAAAGAGGGGTAATCCGAGCAAAGAAGAGGCAAACCTGAGCCAGTCTCGGCGAGGATGATCGTGACCCGGTTCATCTCCACCTTCTGGACGATCGTCGCCTTGAGGCGCCGCACGGGCAGCCGCCTGGATCGGAAGCCCTCCCCATCGTCCGCCATGCAGCGGGCGCGCAAGAAATCTTGCTCCACAATCAAATTCCTCGTGTTTAGGGTGAAAAAAATGAAAGTGGATATTCCCGACACTAGCTTTGGTCATTTTTAAGGTTAATTGGTTTAAAAGCCAACCTAAAGGTGAAATGACGGCACCAGGAATATTATGGTGCTGCTAATATTCGATTAGTCGGGTACGACTACAAATTTTTCATGAAAGTGAATATTCCCGGCACCTAATTGGTTTAAAAGGAAACCTAAAGGTGAAATGACGGCACCAGGAATAGCTAATAGTCTGTCTTAACATCGACTAAAACTTTTTCATGTATCTCCAATTGCTTGTGGGCAATTTCGCAGTCAGTACATTGGCACGGAAGCTTGTCCTCCCATCATTCTCACATCCTGTTTTGCTTTGACTTCCACCTTTGTGTCTGAGGCTGGCCTATTGTAATTTTGAGTGATCCGCTTGATCCACGGATGTTCCAAGATCTGGGCTGCCGTCAATCGTTTTTTCTTGTCCAGATTAAGCATCCCCAGCATCAAATCCTTGGCTAACACTGGAACCCTCGACCAGTCGAAGAGAATAAGGGGCAAATCTTCATACCGCTCCAACTCGCTGAGAACCTGAGGTGTTTGAAGCTCTTCATATGCAATCTTTCCCGTGAGCATTTCGTACAAAGTCACGCCCAGCGCCCAAATATCACAAGATTCTTTGAACCTTTCCCCGGGGGGCATGTACCGCGCGGTTCCACCGCGCATCAACGGCCCCTTTCCCTGCCCCTCCTGCCAGGAGAGGCCAAAATCTGCCACCTTTACCTCGCCGTCATAGCCCACTAGAATGTTTCCCGGTTTTATGTCGTTGTGAGCCATCCCTAGGGCGTGCATCCGCTGCAACGTCTCCGCCACCTTCGCCACCACAAGCGCCGCCTCGTCCTCGCCCAAGGGAAGCCTCGAGAGGAGTGTTCCTTCGCACAGCTCCATTATGATATGGCAGAAACCCAAGTCACGCACAATGGCGACGAGACGAACCACGCCTGGGTCGTGCCTCAGTTGGGCCATGATCTTGAGCTCTTGCAGTATGAGTTTATCGTCGCCCATCATGCTGTTCGTCTTGCACGCAAAGTGTTTCCCATCTCTCAAACGGATCACCTCAAACACCGTCGAGAATCCACCCATTCCTATAGTCTTTGTTACCTGGAACTTGTCTAGCAGATTGGGGAACAACATCTCCATCGTCTTTGCGTTCATCTCCATCTCCCTTTTCTCTGTTGCAAGAAAATGCCAAACCCTAGAGGATAGCCTTTAGCTTTAAAGGTCACATAAGCCACCTTTTCTTCTGAGCTGCGAAAACTGGTTTAAGGCTTTACAATTTCTGCTCTTTCCGATGTTGCGCTCACCATTATCGTTCTTTAACTTCCATTCGAGTGATTTTCTTGCTTGTTGCCAGGAATGCCTTACCCTAAAAAATTCCATACTAACTGGAGGTATGGGAGGAGTTCATCGACAGGGCGTCAAGTAAGCCCAATGTTCTATACTTTTGTGTCTTTAACTTTGTTTTTATTAAGCTATGGACGTGTCCTCGGACTTGACAGAACGGTAAAATTCCAGTTGCGGTGGTTTGTGCAGTCAATTCTTGACATTCCACGAGCACTTGACTACCGCATGAGTGTTTTAATATGAAACAATTTGCAGGACCGTTGTTAGCTACTCAACTGATGAATTTCCAGCATGTTTTACTCCTAACAGTGGCTGCAAAGCACCTTGCCGAGCAGACAGCGTGGAGGAATGCGCAGACATCATAGGTAAGCTCTAGCCATCGTGGTTATCGATTCTAACTTGACACTGCAGAGGCAAACACGAAGTTTGGATTGGGTTCAGGCATTTTGATTGGGTACCCGCAGAGCATGCAGCGGCAGCTAAGAACGTAGAATCGGCATTGCATGAAGCAGAGAACATCTCAGTGACTTCGCTCTTGGTATTCGTACGTGTTGTTTTTTTTCAGAGTATTGCTGGTAATTCTGTGACGCCATTCTTGCTCAAGCGCATCAACGAGCTCACTGGAGGCGATTCATTGGCTGCAAGTATCCTTTTGTTTGGTAGTCCTCCTTTGGAAGTTTTTCTTTGCTACAATTGACAGATATCCAGCTCGTGAAGAATAATGCACTCGTTGGTGCGAAGATCGCAACGGCTCTGACAACAACTTCACTAAATCGTCTTGACACTCGGCCCCGATTGGTAGAAATGTCGTCCACAAAACACGTACGTGACAACACTGTTTCTTTTTCTCATCTGTTGGGTTCACCACTCCTTGCCTGTTTTTTTTCTTTCTTTTTCTTTTTCTTTTCCTGCACAGGCTTTCAACAGATTATACTTCCCGCGGCATGTCGCTAGTGGCAACGGACAAAACACCACAGCTGTTAATGCCAGACACGGAAAAACTGATTTACTTGAAAGTGAGGTAGAGACGATCAACATCAACACGTTTATTGGTTTTGAATTTCGTCTTGCTTTGCTGTGTTGGATTACAGGTGGGCAACAAGCTCAGTTTTTCTCACGAGAAACTTCTTGCCAGGCAGCCACACAGCCAATCCTCTCTTGCCATTCGAGCCTCGCTCGCGCAGAAGCTTCCTCCTATGAACAAAATATAGCGACCTTACTCTCTCTTGAGCTGGATCTTAGTAAGCTTCCAACTCATCCTTCTTCCTATCACGCGTTTATTCCGCGGCAATGGCAACATCTATAAATCTCCATCACCACTCCAGTGGCAACCATTGCAAACTCCATCCCCAGTATTCGAAGCTTCATCCCAAGCCTTCGATCATACAAGTCTTCTGTTCCTGCCAGGAGTTTCGATCGAGTAATGGGTGCTCTCAAAGTCATTGCATTGCTATTGTTGGTCGAGCTTGCGCTCTCTGCTCGTCTCCCACCAAAGTCAGATGTTTCTTTCTCTGAGAACTACTATGTCCGATGGGCTAATGATCATACGCGAGTGCTCAACGGTGGCAGCGAAATGCAGCTTGTTCTCGACAAGGCTTCAGGTAACAATCCCTGTCTCAAGCTTTTCTTTTGCTGATCAAGTCCTGTTGCATGATAGGTGCTGGATTTGGGTCCCGCAGCAAATACTTGTTCGGTCATATCAGCATGAAGATCAAGCTGGTTCCCAAAGACTCTGCTGGAACTGTGACGGCATTCTACATGTCCTCGGAGACAGACAAGCACGATGAGATCGACTTTGAGTTCTTGGGGAACGTTTCCGGGCAGCCATACATCGTCCAGACCAACGTTTTCGCCAATGGCGTTGGAAACCGGGAGCAGCGACACTACCTCTGGTTCGACCCCACTCAGGACTTCCACAGCTACTCCGTCCTCTGGAACACGCAGCAGATCATGTAAGTTTTTTGCGAACACTTTTCGATAATCGCTCAAACTGTGGTTTTGGTCCCTCAGATTCTACGTGGACGATGTCCCTCTGCGTGTCCACAAGAACAACGAAGCCATCGGGATCCCATTCCCAAAGAGCCAGCCAATGGGGATCTACTCGAGCCTGTGGAACGGAGACGACTGGGCTACTCGCGGCGGGCTGGAGAAGATCAACTGGGATCACGCTCCATTCGTGGCGGCGTACAAGGGATTCAGCGTGGATGCTTGCGCCGGGGGTGTGGAGTCGTGCAGCGCTCCCAGGGGCAACTGGTGGGAGCAAAAGGCATTCCAGCGTACCGACAAGGAGACCAAGAGCAAGCTCAAGTGGGTCAAGGACAACTACATGATCTACGACTACTGCACCGACAGCAAGAGGTTTCCGACGACTCCCGCGGACTGTGGCCAGTTTTGAGGGCTTCCATGTACTTACATTCTTTTGTACAGCACTATTCTTTTGTAATAGAAAATGGTCTTTTATTTTTTCATTTGGGTTCTTTCACACATTAGTTTAGACAGCCAAGGACGACCATCCAGGTAATGAAGAACACCAGAGTTTTGTTCAGATTGTCACATGGCTTCCAACATGTCCAGGATCTCAAAGAGGAAGATTATTTTGCATGATTTGACGTAGTTTCATCACTTCGAGAATGGTGCTTGCTACTGGTAAATTTAGAGGCATCTTATTTCGCTGCCAAGCAATTCTCCAAATTTTAGGATCGTTTGGTAGACTCTAGACCATGGACAAAGATGGTTTCATCAGACATTATTGACGTAAAAGCAAGCGTGATGCCCAACATCGAGAAAAAGAATCTTTTACGAACTATGCAAAGAAACAAGAAGTCGGGGATTAAGGCAACATGCATTGGGTGGGAGGAACGCTGAGCCTAGCGACCATCACAGCCAGAACTATAAGAACAATCGTCCACAGGTGGCCAAGTGGGCGATGTGAAATCGCAGGGAAAAGTCAGCCTTTGAATTATAGTAGTAAGCAAAAGCTGAGTTTGGTTGATATTTTTTACAGGGTTTTAGTTCTGCGTGGTTTTTTTTTATGCCTATGCACCCTGTATCATCACCTTGTAGCCGCACTTCTTGGGAGACTTCGGTGATAAAACGATGTGAGAGCGACAAAACACCCCCCTGTTTTTTACTGTAAGCCTTTCAAGGACTTGGTTGTGGATTACTGATCTCAGAACGGCAGGGGAATCTTGAGGACACTGATATGGTAATATTCATATCAGCGGTGTTTCACTTGTACATCGATCCCTGCTGCTCTTGGAACGCGAATTGCTGCCTTAGCATGTGTTTTAGCACAGTCTTTTACAGTTGGTTGGATAATATTTGTTTGCAGGGTCTAGAGCAGGGCAGATTCAGGGACCACAGCAAGTACTTCATTGCAGTCATCCTCGACAAAGTTGCTCATGAAAAAAAGGTGGCAAAGGTGATTCATAAAGTCGTTACACGGAAGAATTAAAAATGCAGCAACCCGACTTGATAACTTTAATAAAGGCGAGAGCATCAGATATTTTTATACACATGTATACAGTTCTTTAGGAATTTTAGTAAAATTGGCTGACCCTAAGCACCGTTGACTAAATAGTCATCGGCAGTTTGTCTAGCTATT